CAGAGAAGCTTCCATTAGAATCTTATCTTTGGCTGAACATGTTAGTGCACACCTGTAATTCCAGCTCTCTGGGAGGCTGAGGCAGACAGATCACAAGTTCGAGCCCAGCCTGGACAACTGAGACTCTTAGGAGAATCTTGTCTCAAAATGAAGTTTATAAGGGCTGGAGATGTAGTTCAAAAACAAAACAACACAACACTTCACCTTTGGTGTTCACCAACTGTATGACCTCAGCCTTAGTTTTTTTTTTAACTATCAATTTTCTTATCCAGAAAATTTTGGAAAATAATATCTACCACCTATTAAGTTTTGAGGTGCAAAAAGTCATTTGGATAAGGTACACGCCAAAACATAGATTCCCAAGCTTTTCCCTAGGCAAGTATTACTCAGTAGACCTGGGAAAGCACCTAAAAATTTCTATTTTTAGTATCAAGATATCTCCAAGTACATTTGAAGAGAGCATGTGCCCCAGTACCTGGTAGCTGTTAATGATTTTCATATAAATAATGGTTCTATAACTATTGAGCAGCCATATGTTTGAAGAGACTCAGTGGGGGCATAGCAAAATTTGGGAAAGCAAATTAGTGTAAAGATTAGAAGATATATAAATTCTAGCCTTTGTCTGACACTTATTTTGCTTTAGGATCTTAGGTTCAGAACTAGCTCTTTTTTTTTAACCAGGGATCAAACTCAGTACCTTGTACTTGCTAGGGAGGCACAGTACCACTGAGCTACATCCTTGGCCCCAGGACCTCATTGTTAATTTTTAAGTCTCTATAAAATTCCCTACAGCCTTCTTTCTTTCTGTCTAGATAAAGAAGAAGCAAGAACAGCCAGCCTAGAATTCTTTAGAGCTTCCTTATTGGAGAATCAAGTGAAATCAATGGCTTCAATAATGAGTCTTGAATCTCTGGGTCTGCTACTATTTCTTCCTGTAGACTATTCCTTAGAGCTTCTCATTCCTCTACTGTTTGAATTCATATAACCCCAGCACCTCTGTAGTAAAGAAATACATCTGAAAACAACCTCATTTAAAATAATAAATCTGTTAAGGAGCTGAGAACTTTTTGGTGTGAAGTGAAAAAAAAATATTGATTGCTTCCCACCTGTTAGCAATGAAATCCCATCCAGTTAATTAACCTGCTCCGTGATAAAGTTTATTTTTGCCCTTCATCTTCAGCTCCAAATCTTTAAAACCATTAAAACAAGTTCCTGGTCAATGAATAAATCTTCTCCCAGAGTGGCATTTAGGGCCTCCTGTAATGTGGCTCCAGCCTACCTTCATTTCTAGCTACTTACCCCCAGTCACCTCCCAGCCCAGCCAAATGAAAGAGTAAAAGTGTTTGCACTGCCAAGAATATGCTTCCTTGTTCTGAATTCTACATATTTTAACTCAGTTCAAATGGCATTTCTTGGGAAAGGTTTTTCCAGAGCTCTGTCATCTATCTCCACCTACTTCCCTTCCCACCTCTCCAAATTGCTGCCAAGCTACAATTATTACCTTTCCATTCTAAACACTTCTAAAACTTTTTATACCTTTGTAGAACTTATTTTATACTTTATATTATGATTATGTATTTATAGTACTAGGCCCTTGAGTATGCAATCCAACCAATTCATTTTTGTGCTCTTCATATTCTCCAACAGAATACCTTGTCTATGACTGGTGTTCAGTAAATAGTTCTTGAATGTTTAAATAGAGACCTACTGATTTAACACCTTCTTTGCTCTTAATATTAACAAAGGGAGAATTTAACTCAGTGAGATATTTTTCAAATTTTTTATTACATTCAAAACAGAACTCCCAAGCCTCTCAATCTTTCCAAAGATAATCCTACTGTCTTTTCACATTCTTAGCAGCTTTCTGTTTATGGAAATCTTTTCACTTTCCATGGAAGGGGGCATCACCTATTTCTATGCCTCTCAATATAGGCTTCATATGGCCTTTCTATTTTCTGCTCATTTACTTGACAACATAGTTGGATCAAGCATTTTATCAGCATAAAATGCTAAAACTCAATTTTGGATGAAGTAAATCTTCAGTCACATATGAAAGCATTCACATAAATGTGTCTAGACTGAAGAAGAGAAATATTTAGCTTTACTGAGGCCAAAAAATATTCCTTCATTTAGAAGCATTTTCTTGATCACACACTGAACTTCAGGTACTGTGTCCTGTGCTACTCATACAAATATAAATATGGGTTCTTCAAGGAGCTCTGAGTCATATGAAGAGGGATGAATGGATGATGAGATAATTTCTATAGAAAGCAATTTGCACAATGTCAGAAGCAGACACAGGGTGATGTACAATACAGATTTTAAATAAAGTTCCCTTTTCAGCACAGTGTTCATGCATATACCAATAATTTAAGTATTATTTTGGAGTATTAAAAGCATCAGTGTCATTTTCAAACCATTCACCTTGGGCAGGGTCTCAGAATCCATAGGGTCTCAGAATCATGCTGGGGCATGACTCAGATGCATAGCCATGCTGGGTTAATCAAGATCAAGATGCAGGTCCTTTCTCTTTAGAGCTTATAGGAATGAATCATTCATGGAGATGTCAGCAAAGGGGTAGTTTTCTTATGATTCATTGGCTGAACTTCATCCCAGTGATATTTTGGTCCAGAGATTTTGCAGCTATTCTGTCTATGGCTCCAGTATTTCTAAAGGAATTGGCACAACTGTTTAGATGACTCATTGGAATGCCTTCTTGAAATCTATGACCCTAGAAGTGTCTGTGTGTGTGTGTGTGTGTGTGTGTGTGCATTCAGTGAGTGAGGCATTTATGAGAAAAAGTAAGAGGCTGGGCGTGGTGGCTCATACCTGTAATCCCAGCACTCGGGAGGATCCCTGTGAGTTCAAGACCAGCCCGGGCTACATAGTGAGTTCCAGGTCAGTCTCAACTACATAGTGAGACCCTGTCTCAAAAAACCAAAATAGAAAAGAAAAAGAGAGAGAAAGTAATTCTATGTTTTAAATGATCAAAGTCCACAGCTGAGAATACTAAATATTTATGCAGCTTACTTTAAGTTTCTTTCTTTTCTAGCCGTTTGCATTGACGGATACTTTTCTGCTTACTATAAACTCCTTGAGAAAGATAAGGTAAGGTGACATGATTCAGAAGCAGAAATAGGAGAGGAAATTAAAATCCATTTCAGATTACTCCTTGGCAGTTGCTCAGTGAATGACTTGGACGATGCGGGGTACTGCTTAAGACAAGGATGCAATATTTTTCTGGATTCTTATGACTCACAATTGTAAGAAGACTAGACTTGGTGTGATGATGACTATGGTGATGGTGGCCACAAGCCATTTAACAAAGATTTATTTCACTACCTGCCTTTGATTTAGCCAGATAGGACCAAAATAGAGCAAAACCAATCATCTTAACAAACAACAAAATACTCTGCCCTCGGGAGTTTAAATTCTAAAGGGAGAAATTGTCAGAAACAGTACTAGCATGGTCCTCTCTGCTTGAAGGTGTGAAGCATTCCTTTCTCCCACGAGGTCTTATTCTTGAGGGACTTAGTCTCCATCAATTCTTAGCTTCCGTGCAACTCACAAAAACTTTCTCTTTCGAGCTTGCAGACTGATAGCTACTCCAAATGTTTATATGAGCATCGAAATGGACTCCGGGGGAGAGGTGGATGTCTGTGTGTGCGTTGACTGCAGCGGTGATAATGTAGAGTGGGCAGAAATCCTGCAAACAGTACCATCCACACTGATACTTGCTAGCTGGGGGAAATGCAGGAGTTAGCACCTGACTCACTCCCCTCCATCCCAGTTGGCTTTCTTCCTCTTCCTTGTCGCTCTTTCCTCCCTCCCCTCCTACGTCCCTCCCCCGCTTGTTACCTCCCTTCCCCTCCGTCCCTCCCCATCCCCTTCCCTCGTACAGTTCTTTTCTCCTCCTCTTGCTCCCTCTCCCTCTAGCCTCTCTCCCTCTCCTGGTTTTTCCCTCCTCCATCCCTCCGCGGCGGCGTCTGCGTCAGGCCCCCACTAGCGTGACGCGGGGGTCTGGGTGGGAGCTGTCCACTCACCCGGGTGCTGAATGCAGCAGAGGCGGCCGCGGCCGCGGAGGCGGAGATAGCTGGTAGCCTACTCCGCTAGGGGAAGCTTGTTTCCAGTCCTCGGACCGTCGGCTCAGCACCCTGACACCTCCCTTCCAGCACCACCCCTTTGGGAACTGAGCCAAGGGGGCAGCAGTCGCTGCGGGTGCTGAGCAACGGCGGAAGACAACACCTGGCAGCAGCCGAGAATTTGCTTTGCTTGCTTTCGGCTTTTAGAAGAGATATATTTACACACGGTTTTAGGGAATCTCGAAGACCAAGCTGGAACCAAGTGCCGGCTGCTTCCCACCTGGGGCACACGGCTTCGTTTTCCCCTCCTCTCAGCTGGCGCCGCACACAAGCCTCACCTCGTTGCTTCTGCGAGGAGAGGTAGCAACCGAGCCCAGCCAGCGGTGGCAGAGACAGGAGGGAGGGGCGGGTGGGGGCGGAGGCAGAGAGCCGGCGAG